CACTCCCTCACTCTGCCTCACTCACTCCCTCACTCTGCCTCACTCACTCCCTCACTCTGCCTCACTCACTCCCTCACACTGCTACGGAAGAGGAGGAGAAGGAGAGAGAGGGGGCCCATCAAGTCGATGGTGAGCGGGCTGGTGAGATACTTCCGGCTGAGTTTCTTGACCCACGACCCCCACCACCGACTATAACCCCCTCCCACCGCACAGAACAGCTTACCAAGTCGATGGTGAGTGGGCTGGTGAGGTATTTCCGGCTGAGCTTCTTGACTCACGACCCCCACCACCGACTATAACCCCCTCCCACCGCACAGAACAGCTTACCAAGTCGATGGTGAGCGGGCTGGTGAGGTACTTGCGGCTGAGCTTCTTGACCCAGGACGGCATGGTCGCGGAGAACAGGCTCATCTGAATGCGCCCGCCTTCCGGCAAATTCTCCATGATCCGCTCCACATCCTCCTCGAATCCAACGGCCAGCATCTGATCCGCCTCGTCCAGCACCATGAACTGGATCTCCCGCAGGCTCAGCGTCCCGCGCTCGATCAGGTCAATCAGGCGCCCGGGCGTGCCCACGACCACGTCGACGCCGCGCTTGAGCTGGCGCATCTGCGCGTCGATTGAGACGCCGCCGTACACGCACGCCGTGGAGAGGTTCGGCGCGGACTCGCAGAACTCGCGCTCGACCTGCTTCGCTAGCTCGCGCGTCGGCGCGAGGACCAGGCAGCGGGGCGCGCGGAACGGGCGCCTGTGGGTGCGGAACGGGATGAGGGGGGTTGGGGGGGAAAGGGGAAGCGGGGGAGAGCGGGGAGGGAGAGGGGTAAGAAGGGAGCATAGGTTAGTGATAGGCTGGAAAAGGAGTGCGCGAGGAGAGGAGGGGATGATGGTCATCTTTGACTCAATCTTTGGTGACTCTGCATAACTGAGGTGTTTTTTTCATCAGCCGGCAACACGTTCGTTTCGATCTGGAACGATCTGAATCTTTGTAACGAATCGACATGAAACGTGAACTTCTTCGTCTTTCTAAAGTTCTTAACCAATCAAGTACGTAAACACACGCTGTTTCATCCACTGACTGCACTAGTGAGCCGCCTTATGACGGAGACGGCCATCTTGGAACAGAGGGCAGAAAAGGAAATGAAAACAAAGAGGAAAAAAAAATCAAATCTAGGTTACAAACACACAAAAGCAAAAACAAAAAACAAAAAAAAAAAAACAAAAAAAAACTCACAACGCACATTCAGACGGCTAACAGCTAACACATTCAAGCCACGCACCTGCCGTTGTTCTCCTCGATCTCGCGCGTGATGCGCTCCAGGATGGGAATGCCGAACGCCAGCGTCTTCCCCGTGCCCGTCTTGGCGCGCGCGATAATGTCGCGCCCCTCCATCGACGGAGCCAGCACCGCGTGCTGCCATTGGCGGAGCATAAGGGGAAAGGGTTGGGGACCAGGTAAGGTGGAAAGAGAGGGAAGGGTGGGAGGGATGAGAGAGGTTACAGGGTAGAGTCAAGCGGACACGCGCAGTAATGTGGCGCCCCTCTAATGATGGCGCAAACACCACGTGATGCGATTATCGGAGCACGGAACTTATACTCAAAACCCGTCAAACCCTTAGCCGCGATTTCATGAAAGGCAGACAAACACGGGCATACTACGAATGATAACGATCCAACATGGGACGGAAGAACTGGATCAAGATGAATTCCCAGACTCATCTTTAGGTCATACCTGAATGGGGAAGAGCCGTGCGATTCCTCGCTTCAACAGCGACTGCTCAAGAATTGTCGCGAGGCCGAGGCTCTCGATCGCCAGCTCATCCCTGTCCACGTCAGTATCGGACACGTCAACCAGCACCACCTCCCCCTCCTCGTCGCTGCTCGCCTCATCCTCGCTATCAAAAACCTCCGCTTCCGAATCGGATGTTAAACCCCGAGGAAACTCCCGCCCAACCCCTGAACCCGCAGATGATCCGCTCTTGGCGCGCGCCTGGTACAGCGCCTCGAGCGCGCGTGAACCAGAGCCGTCGGATTCGGAATCGGACGTCGAGGATTCAGAAGACTCGTCAAGAGTGTACTCCGATGTCGGCAGCACTGCACCCTGGCGGACGGCGGGAGTTGCGCCAGCGACAGCGGAGCGGGGGGCGGAGGCGGAACCGATAGGACTTGCGCTCGCGGCGGAGTCGGAAGAAGACGCGTGCGCGGAAAAGGTAGACGCGAGACGCGACGCAGCTCCGCTTGGGTGCGATGATAACAACAACGAGTCCCGAGAAAGACCGCCCGAGAAGAAAGATGAACTAGAGAAGGGACTTGCCCGTCCCGATTGGCTTCTGAGAGTCGACGACCATTGCAGGCAGGTGAAAGAGCCGGGAGCGTGCGCGCCGTGAGCAGCGGCGTTGTTTGCGGCCAGCAGTGCTGCCTGAGTGGCTTCTATCGAGGTGGCGGCGCGGGAAAGGCCCCGTGATGCGGCGGACGCTCCCCGTGAAGCGATCGCCGTCGTGGTCGCAGCGGATGAGGCGACTGCCATCGCTGCGCGGCTGCGACGGTGGAGGAGAATTAATTGGCGTGAAGCCACGGTGAACCTTTCACTAGAAGGTTTCAGCACAGCCTCTTTTGCGAAGCCCGATTGACAAACTTTCGGAGTGTGTAAAGACCGGCGGATGTTTGGAAGCACACAGAAACTCCTCTCTGCAAACTAATCCTTTCACTGATACCACGTAAGGTAAGCTCCGAGGATGCGGAGCACAAGGACGGAGCTTGAGCTGAAAGAGTTACTGGCAGAAACCTCGACAATCGAGGCACAGAAACTTGAAAAGGGAGGTTTGTGTCGGATGGGTTTCGATATTTAGGAAAGCGTGATGGGAAAAACGGGAAGCAGATGCGGTAAGGGGAAGCGAGGAGTCAGGACGACGTGGCCTCGAGATTACTTTCTGGGGCAGGTTTCAATTCAAACATAGCTTCGCTCACTCTAGTAGCACGCTTCGGGCTGCCCAGTTGCGGCTTTCGATCAAACATCAATGTTGCCCGAATGCCTGCGCTAGCAAATTCCTGAAGGTCGACATGGCATAGCTCAACCAGTCCCCTCCGTCCTCCTAGGAAATTTGCGGAACCGCTTGTCAGCCTGCGCCGCGTGGCAACGTGAATATCCCAGCATGACCGCCGCGGTCAGCGAAGGCCAGCAAGTGAAGCTAGTGAACATTCAATTGGTCGACGAGTTTGAGGGATTACGCACGGGCAGCAGTTGCTTTTCCCGAGAGCTCCCTGGTTGTCTTGTGTGGTTGGAATTCTCGAGGAGCCTGGCTTCGGGACGGGAATCCAGCGAAACGGAGACGCGCAAGCCCTGGCTGCTGCCACGTCAATGAGCCGACATATAGATGTTCCACGTCACCATATGTTTATGAATAGGGAAAGTATATCCCAGCTCCATAGTTTCAAAAATCTCTCAAATTTAGTCCTAAGTTTACTCAAAAAGTACAGCTTTCTAGAAGTTTGCTCACGCGAGGCCCAGATATGTTCAAAACTGGTCCTGCGGGGCAAACTTTTCGACACGTTTCCTATTTCGTATTAGCAGTTTCTGACGGGGGCAAAAAACATAAAACCCCTAGGGGAACCAGGACACACGTTCGGGAGCGACCAACCCTAAACACGGGGACCCGCTTGGTGTTTAGGGTTGATCCCTCCCGCAAATGTGCCCTAGTCCCCGAGGGGTTTTATTATTTTTTGCTCCTTCGAAAAAAATTCCAAGCGAATTTGGACACGTGTCGAAAACTTCGCCCCGCAGGACCAGTTTTGAACATACTTTGGGCCTCGCGTGAGCGAAATTCTAGAAAGTGGTACTTTTTGAGTAAACCTGGGGCTAAATTTGAGAGAAATCTGAAAGTATGGATCTGGAATATAGTTTCCGTTATGAATATGGGTTCGGTGTAGAATACTAACATACAAATCCAACAGAACCAACCACTTGAGAAACACTAATATCCCCCTCAGTCAGTTCAACCTGTCTAAAGTCCAGTCTCCCTGCCAAACGTACTTTATGATATCAAATGTGTTTTAGGCTTTATTTATGTAGCAACAAATATTTGAGGTGACAGTCAAAATGCACCAATCTGTGTGGCTGGCTGATTTTCTACCTGGTTGGTAGTACGGTACCATCACATATGATATTCCAAACACTGCCAGACCAACCAACTCATCTTTGTGCCAGCATTTGTGTTGCAGCTGCCACTGTTGCTGCTGCTGCTGCTGCCTACTCAAACACTGATGTCTGTCAACGCTCTCTACCAGCCGGCACAAGCACAAACAACGTCCTTCCCACGCCTCGTCCCCTCCTTCCCTCCTCCCCCCTCGCAGCAAGTTCCACTGACCAAGCACATTAGGCATGTGCCGCATCAGCAAATCAAAGGAAAACAATCAGACTAAGCAGCAGCTACCACCACCTCAGCTGATTGGCTGGCCCATTAAGCTTCATACGAGTCTTCGACTTGGTAGTCTAACTCTAAACATCTTAACCAAGCCCCAAACCATAGTCTGAATTCGCTGCTCCTGTGCTGCCTCGAGGCATCACCTCTCCAAAAAACCACTCAGCCTTATCATGCTCTTCCTGCAGAGCGTATGCTGCCAACAGCTTCCTCACCAGCCTCCCAAGCTTCCATGCCCACCACCAACCCTTGCCCAAACCTCTGCACCGCCTCAAGACATCTCCTCTGCAAACCACCCAATCACCTTATCATGGCTTCTTAGAGCAAACCCTGCCAACAGGCCCCTCAAAATACTTTCCAGCTTCCATGCCCACCTCCAACCCTTGCTAAATTCCCAGAGCCGCCAAAAAAAAACCTGAACGTACTCGTCCCACCACCTCTCTCCAAAATCTTATTGAAGTCACCCAATCAGTTTTACATGTCTTCTCTGCAGGTTATAAGTCCTCTTCAGCCACCTTGCTAGCCTCCCAAACCCCAACATGTTTTTCCTTCATAAACCTATGAGGCACCAATCCCCCCAACACCTCACCCAATCAGCTTGTCATGACTGCTCTGCAGGTTGAAAGTCTTCTTCAGCCCCCGAGCCAGCCGCCCCAGGCCCCCGCCTAGGCCAGCTCCAATCGCGCCGCCAGCTGGCCGCCCGCCATTGGGCATGGACGTGTTGCGGGCAAAAATCCTCCCAGCCGCCTGTGCGGGCATGCCCACATACACCCGGTCCCTCAGCCGCGACCCCTGCATGCCAAACCCTGACCCGGATCCCGCAGTTGAAAAGGACCGTGCATGATCGATCGGCGGCTGGTTCAGCCTGCTCCTAGGCGTCGTCGCACCTCCTGCTGCTGCTCCTCCCCCTCCTCCCCCTTCTCCTGCTCCTGCTGCCCCTCCCCCTGCCGCTCCTCCTCCTCCTCCTGCACCCGCTCCTCCGGACCCGCCACCAGCAGCAGCAGCACTACCAGATCCACCTCCTCCACCAGCAGCGGCAGCAGCAGCCATGGCCTGGGCTTTCGCCGGCCCCACCAGCACCCCTACCGACGCCAGCTGCGACGCAATCTCCTCCTCCCAGGTCAGCCCCGACGGGGCCAGATTCCCCACCTGCCCCCGGATCTTCTCCCCCTCCCACGTCCCCCCGCCATCCTTCCCTCCCGACCGCCCCACCTGCACAGACCACGCTGCTCTGGCTCGGGCTATCAGCCCGCTCTGGGCCGGGTTTCCCTCGCCTCCTCCCTCTCCCCCTCCTGCTGCGGCTGCATCGTCGGGGGAAACCTTAGCGCCAGACATGGCAGGGCTCTTTCGCCCTGACTGTTGTCCCGAGGGAACCCGGTTGCTGCTCCCGCTGTTCCCACTAGCTCCAGTCGGGCCCTGGCCGAACCCAGGCGTCTGCCTGGGATGCGGGCTGGTGAAGATGATCGGCGCAGCAACTGCCTGAACGATCTTCTTGGGGATGTTGAACACGAAATCCTCCCCATCGTCATCGTCGCCAGTCCCGTTGTTCCCGGTCCCGGGCTTGCGAATGGTGAACACGAAATCGTCATCGTTTTCATCGATTTCCTCCAGAGCGCTTTTCAGCCGGGCCGTGCCGCTGCCTTCGGCTGCCATCACGAAATCCGGAGCCTGATCTTCCTTGGTCAAAAACTTTTTAGGGGCACCTGGATGGAGGATGAGGATGAGTCGCGCCGGGACCACCCCTCGAGAGTTCACCACCCATGATTTCATGGTCGTTTCGAGGGTTTCGCGGGCAGCTTCGGGCAGGTCGGAAGGTTTTGTGGGGGGGGAGGGGGTGGAGGCGGAGGATAGGAAGAGGTTTCGGAGGGCTGTGAGTTTGCTGCGCGCTTCTTTGCGAGTGAAGCACTCGTATGCGGCTATGGAGAATATGTGACCTTGGTAGATGTGGAATAAGAACATCACTTGGTCAAAGCCCTTCAGACGTGGAGAGGAAAAGGGGAAGTAGGGGGTGGGAAAGGGGTGCAGGGGGCAAGTGCAATGTGAAGCTCTCGTATGCGGCATTGGAGAATATGTATTCTTGATGGATGTGGAATAGAAACATCACTTGGTCAAAGCCCTGCAGACATGGAACGAAAGGGTGGTTGGTAGGAAAAGGAGGAGGAGGAAGAGAAGTGGAGGGGGGAGGGGAAGGGAGGGGAAGGAGAAGGACCAAGTGCAAAAAGAGTTTTGGACATAGCGAAGCAGTCGTATCTTCGGAGAAATAGGAACCTCACTTGGTCAAAGCCCTGCAGACATGGAAGGGAAGGTGGTTGGTAGGAAAGGGGGAATGGGGAGCAGGGGTAGAGGGGGGGAAGAGGGGTGGGAGGAACGGGGAAATTGGAGAGAGGGGTGAAGGGCGGGCGGAGAGGGGTGGGTGGAGGTCGGGGAAAAGGGAATGGGGAATTGCGACTATTATATTTCCCAAGTCTGTAAGCCGTGTGTGGTTCCGTAAGATCAGAAATTTGAAAGGGATGCATAATTAGGTGGTATATAAACACCTCTGACCATAATTAGAGAAGTAACTTATGTGTACAGACGTGTAAACGCTTTAATGTAACTAAACAGGCAACAGAAATCAAGGACCAGCGGAAGGGACATGCATATTGAGAAGAAAGTAGCAAAAAGCAAGGACCAGCGCGATTGGGTTAAAACGCGAGGATGAAGGTGGGGATGAGTGTAATTACAGGAGCTGCCTATGAGAATTCGAAACGAATGGAATCAGACGGTGCGTCATGGAAACAAGGAGAGAAACAAGGCGATCGACAAGGCGAGAAACAGGCGAGCTGACATACCCAAGAGAACCATTGCATGTTGTGAGGGACCTTCGTCAGCGTTTTGCGAAGGAGTTCGTCGAATTCGCTGAACGGGCTGTGGGCGAGTAACAAATCAGTGCCGTGGGAAATGCCGAGACCCATGATAAGATCTGCAACCTTCGCCATGCTGCCAACTCCCCGTTAGGATCCGCAAATTCCGCTCTGCTTCTAGCGGGTATATGTATTTGACTGGCGGGAAGAGACGATTATAGTATCTGATCGTTGTTTGCCTAAGGCTGCACCATTATATGCACTATAAATTACACTAATTAACTTCGGATTATAGGCGCTCTAATCTGCCGCCGCCGGAACGCGATAAACAATTTCCGAAACTGCCGGATGACTACGATTTAATCGTAACAGTTCATCGCACGACATCGGAGGACTCAGCAGACGCAACCCGGAATAAAGCGCGTATATCTGTGGGACGAAAGGCGCCTGGCGAGTGTACTGTTTGAAACAAAAGGGTCACTATTGAGCCACGCGGTTGCGAAAATCATTGACGCGTCGCCCCTAGTGCTCACACTTATCAACTTGCCAGAAACGTGTTCCGAGTACCGCCAGTTAGAGACTGTTGGGATGAATTTGCAATAAGCAGTAAAAACGAGCTTAAAATCCGTGGCCGAATGCGTTTGAAAGTCGACGATTATGTCAGTTTTGTATCCGTGGCCAGCTAAAAACGTTGACGGACGGTTTTACCCGCCAATGACGAGTCTCCGTCGCACACGACGAGAAAAACGTTGGGAAGGTCAGCGCAGTGGCGAAAGGTGAATAACATACCCCCCCTAGGCAGCACATTCACCAAGGCTGACACTCACGACCACGCTGAGACAACCAGCAAGGAATCATCAAGGAACAACTAAGGCTGGCTGAGGTAGGTGGAGCTTTGTCAACACTTCAAGCATTGGGGGGACGAATATGTCTGCCAGTCTTCGTGTATACTGTATTCTGTAATCCATCCCCTCTGTTCCTGTCACTCATGAATGGCACAGACACTCCAAAATAGAGCTATCTGAACAGGTATTGAAGTTTACAGAACGTTGAAGTACGGTACGTGGTTCTCTTGTTGTCTCCAACCTCTCCATCAGTGATGTGCTTCCTCCCTAGGGAATTGTCAACCACTCGATTCGAAGTGAATTCTCGCAATGATTTGAGTGGTGCAGGTTTGGGGTGGTGGTTAAGTACAGTACATGAGCTGGACCAAAACCAAGGGTGTTTTGTGGTCTGGTCTAGAGATGTTTCTGGGCAGACAACTGCTAGTGAAGTGTACTTCAATATCGCGTGCGAAACAAACAGTTCCTGGTTTTGGGTGTTCAGGTTCCTGGCACTGGCTTAGATCCACATTTGTGCATGACTCGTTAGAAACACATTTCTCACTAGAGGATCTAGAAGAACTATCAAATGCTTGAATGGATATTGAAGCCTTGCTAAAGACTGAAGCAAATCATATGAAGTTGCAAGTGTTATGTAAACAAAGACTTGTTTCTTTGCAACACAAATAAAGCCATTCACTGCGAACTTTAGCATCAATTCAGCATACAAGAGGGTGTGGGTGCAAACAAGTGCACAACGTTAGGTGCTAAAAACAGCACACCCCCTTCCTACCATTCTATGCAGCCTCGGGACTCAACCAGGTTATGCTATAACCTGTAGCATCGTTGTCACCAGGAGTGTAATCCTCCTAGCTTGGTACCACTAAGCTCGCACTAGCAGCAGCAAGGTACCAGTAAGCTTCAACACAGCTAGACTACCTTTTCTACAGTGGTACGAATACTGTATCCTTAATGCATATGCCTAGCACCTAGCTTTCGGAGAGGATGCCTGAAACCCTGGTTCCACACTATCCCTGCTCCACCACCGTCCATCGCTTTTGAGATGTCTCAAAACTTCCAGTGGTTGCAGCTGCCCTTTTTGTTTCCCCATACGTTGCCCCAGGCTGTGGCTCCTCTTTATTCGCTGCACTCTATGTACTATACTATGTGGTAAAAGCACATGTACTGTTCCGGTTGGCCGTGTCCGCCTTCCTTCCTCCCCCCCTTCCCTTTTGAAAGTCACTCCAATGCCTTGTGTGCTACCAGGAGACATCGGGTGCGGGGGAGACCACCTTCAAGTCCTCATACTCGCTGTGGGCAGATTCGGCAAAGCATACGAGTAGAGGAGAGAGACATGGTTTGAGATAGGATAGGATAGTATGCCCGTGTTTGTGTCACTGCCATGGAAATGCGAAGACTATGAACTATGCTGAGGCCACAAGAAAAGTGAATGAAAATGCGCTTCTAGTACCAGTGAGTCATGCTACAGGTAGATAAAATAGCATTTGTGTGAATCCTTAGTATTACTCACCCGGTGTAGGGTTCGTTCCAGCCACGCCAGTCGCCGGACCATCCCCCGTCGAGCACATAGCTCGCAACCCAAATGGATGCATACACGGGATGATTTGAGTATACTAAGAATTGCACTCACCCAATGTAAGGCTCGTTCCAGCCACGCCAGTCGCCGGACCATCGCCCGTCGAGCACATAGCTCGCATCCCAGATGGAAGCATACACATACATGGGCTTCACTGGGTACGGCTCTCCATCCTTGTTCTTCGCCACACGCACCACCTTGCCGTCAATCTGCCAACTGGTGCGCAGAAATTTGGGAAGGGGGGGTGGGGGGGAGGAGAAAGAAAGCAGAACAAGAATGGTAAAGGCTTCGTCTCCCTTCTCAGCTGGCATGCGCACACATGGGCTCCACTGGGTATGGCTCTCCATCCTTGCTATTCGCCACACGCACCACCTTGCCGTCAATCTGCCAGCTGGAGAGGAGAGGGAGAGAGAGTGTGAGGAAACAAGCGGAACAAGAGTGATTCAAGCTTCAACACCTTGCGGGTACGCGCTACCCCTCCTTGTGCTTGGCCCCGCCCCGCACACCACCTTGCGGTCAATCTGCTGTCTGGGGAGGAGAGAGGGTGAAAAGCAGAGGACGAAGGGGTTGCAGAATCACGCGTTTAGGGGCCAGAGAAAGCAAGACATTTCACTGAGCAGGAGAGGATGGATGGCTCTTGACAATTCCCAAAAGCGGCTTCATAAAATTGGGGAGGGGATGGTCATATGGAAAGAGGAAGAGGGGGATGTTGGGGTTGAGTGAACAGCGAAGACTAGAGAAAAGAAGGTCACACATTTGTCGCCACCCACTGACACAATTTGACCCTCGTTTTAGAAAATGGAGTAGTCGTGAAAGTCTAACGAGCAGTCGAGGCGACAAGTCGACTCAAACGTCTCCTCTTTTAGAGTCGACTCGATATCCACTTACACAATCTGATTTTCGTTCCAGAACATGGTGTAGTCGTGAAAGTCCGACGAGCAGTCGAACCCTAACGGGATCAGAACCTCCCGCCCGCCCTCGCCGTTCACGTAGTAGTTCGTCTGCACCTGCGTCTTGTCCTTTCCCAGGAACTCGAAGTCGATCTCGTCCTGATCGTGGCTGCCTTCTAACGAGGATAACTGCAAGGCGCGAGAGTGACGTCAGCGGGAGGGGGTGAGGATTGGAGCAGGGAGGGTTGGAGGGAGAACCTTAGAACTCCGAAAACGCGTCAAATGAAGCGTGGCAAAGGGAACTTGAAGGTCGGAAGGGGGCATCGAGAGGAATCAGCATCTGCAGTCTCACGTGCGTGTCGCCGACCGCCTTATAACGAGGATAAATGGAAAAAGCTCGAACAGAACTTACATAATATGATTGCACCAAGCCGCTGATATCCCCTTTGGGGCACTTTATTTTCGCGCTGAAAATGCCCGACGGGTACTGCTCGTCCGAGCG